AATAATCATAAACTTTATCCAGAAACATGGACTGCTGAGAAAATAGTACAAGAATACCATTTAAAACTGGAAGATGTAAATTCGCTTCTCAAGTATTTTGTTACTTTTGAAGTCAAGATCTTTCCTCCTGAAAACAAGAAAGCAATAGAATCAAAATGAAGAAAATCATAAAATTACTGATGTGCACTTCTCATCCCCCTGCTTGCTTATTTCCTCAATTTTAGCATATTAAATTATAGAAATAAAAATAAATAAATATCTGGGCCTGGGCCGGGGATTTAGCTCAGCGGGACCACACCTGCCTCACAAGCGCAAGGTCCTGAGTTTGATCCCTGGTACAAAAAAAAATTTTTTTTAAATAAATATCTGGGCCTGTGTATTTTACAGACAGTTATTTTAGTGTTACTTAACTTATTATTCTCTTTTGTAGAAACCAAAAGACACCCCTTGGATTCTACAAGTTTGCCCTACTGCTCCATCAGTGCAGGTATTTGACATCAGAAATGTATAGTGTGGCTGACTGGTGGCGTACACCTGTAATCCCAGCACTCTGGGAGGCTGAAACAGGAGGACTGCAAGTTCAAGGCCAGCTGGGCAACTTAGAGAGACCCTGTCTCAGAAATTTTAAAAAATAATAATAAAAGGGATTGGGTATGTAGCTCATTGTGAAGGGCTTGTGTTCAGTCCCTAGTCCTGGATATAAAGAAAAGGATAAAAAAACTACAGTATGTATTTTTTTTGCAGTACTGGAATTTGAACTCAGGACCTTGTGTTTGTGAGGCAGGTGTGGCACCACTGAGCTACATCTGTAGCCCCTGTATGATAATTTTATAAATATATAATCCAGAAATTCCTTGAAATTCTGAGTATGAATCTGACTTGATAGTCTTCGTGTAATTGTGTAGTTATTTCATTATTCTTCCAGGAGATTATGTGATTTGGCTTAGAGTATCTTTTTTTTTTCAGCTTATAGTATTGACATGTATTGATCTCTCCATAAATTTTAGTTCTTCCATACAGAGAAATGGTTTTCATCCAAAGTGTCTCATTATCTAATGGATTGTTATTTTTTGGTTCAAATCCAGTGTCATGTAAACTCTCATAATTAATTTTGAGAACAAATACCATAACTGTACCTACATTGAAGAAGTAGCCTATCCCTGAAAGCAGTAATTTTTTGTTTTAAAAATATCTAAATATTACAAGCCTTTTATCACTGCAGGAGACGACCTTATTTCGCCCATTATCCGTTCCATCTCTGCCCTGCTTCAGAACCTTCAGGAATCCAGCCAGTGGGAGCTGGCCCTAAGATTTGTAGTCAGTTCCTTTGGTGTCTGTCTCCAGCATTCTGTATCAAACTTCATGAATGCCAGTTTGAGTGAAAAGGTATAGTTTCAAGAACAAATACTTTGACTTAGGTTAAATAAGGATACAAAAGTATTGCCAAACAGGAACATAGAGTCCACGCTTTCCTGTTCAGCTCTATAGCAAGGGAAATGATTGTGTATCAAATGTAAGAAACATATGCTGAGCATGTACTAAAATTCAGGTGCAGTTCAAGGTATTTCACACTTACTTACTTTCTTATCACTAAGACACAATACTTGACCCCCACAAGTTAAAGGAGGAGGGATGCAGTGAAGGTTTAGTCTGGAGTTGGCTGGCTCCTAGGCAAGGCGGCATGGCAGAGGAGCACAGCAGAGGAGAAACAGCTGATGACATGCAGTGGAAGCAGAGAGCCATCAAGGGGGAAGGAGGGATAGAGACCCTTCCAGGCCACACCCCCAGTGATGCACCTCCCACCAGGCTTCACCTCCCAAATCACATTTAGCTATAAGCTCATCAGTGAAGTAATCCACCAATGAGTATCACATCCCCATGATCCAGTCACTTCCCCAAAGCTGCCCTCACTATAAACGCATGAGGATTTGGGGGGCCATCTAGATATAAACTCCAGTACATGCATGTCCACACTTGGTCTCTATAGCAGCTCTGTATGTGGAGAAAGATTCTTCAAGGTGAAGTGAGTTATCCAAGGTTCTGGGTTGTGTTGGTAATCCTTCATACTTCAAGCTCAGTACAGTATCCTACTATTTTTTTGTTGCCCAGATTACTTCCTGACAGCATTACGGAAAAGATTTTGTGAGACAAACTACCTGTTGATAGCTTATTGTGAAGCTGCCACTCAGAGGGAATTGTCTTCATTCCTACTACTCTGTTTATATGTACTCAAGGCTGATTTTCTTTTTCTAAGCTATTTCATTGAGGTATACATTACAAAATTAAGATCCACATGTTTAAGTGTATCAACCAGAGTATTCATCTTATCACTAACACCTCAATCAAGATACACAGAATTTAAAAAAAATTTTTTTAAATGTATAACTTTATCACTCACTAAACACACACATATACAAAAATTAAAATTATTCAAAGAAAAGCAATGCAAGGGTAAAAACTATAATAATATTCAAATATATAGAACTCAACCAAAGCAAAATTGAAAAGTACTTAAACATTTTTCCATATAATTTAAAAAAACATCTCAAGCATTAACAAGACATCAAAGGATGTGATTTGTTTTACAAAGATTTTCAAAACTAATATTGAACAAATAGTGGTCTGGAAAAAAAGTTCTATTTATCTAGTAGACTCCACATAGGCCAAATTTTTTAAATTTATATTTCAATACAGTCATGTGGCACGTGATGGAAATATAATCTGAGAAATATGTTATTAGGCAATTTCATCCGTGTGTATCGCAAAGTACCACACAGAGTGCCACCTTCTAAGTGCAAACTGAGAAGGTATACATCAGTCATCTGTGATGGCCCCTTGATATTATCCAAATACTCAGTTAAACACGAGATACATGAGGCTACCACTGGCATAGCAGCACACTGTTTTACAATAAACTTTTATATAAGTAGGATTGTGCTCTAAAAGATGAAAAGCACAGCATGTTATGATAAGTACTAAAACAATAATAGTCATTACACTATGGAGTATTGCGTACTGTACATAGTTGTATGTGCTTCTTCTGGAAACACACCCTTCTCTCCTTTGATCTCAGTGCCTCTTCCTTCCCAACCCACTGATGAGCTCCAGCCTGGTCTCTATCTGCATCTCTTCCTATAGTTTTAAACACAATCTATATATGGATTATTTCCAGATTCCAGCCTGTAACTCTGATCTCTCTCCTTCCCCTCCTGCCACCCCTACCCCTTTGGACCTTTTCTTCCTATTTCAAATTATCAATTATTCATTTTAATCATTTTAATCCTTAATCACACTTTCAGTTTCTCACACTAGAGAAACTATTCGGTATTTACACATGTGTGTCCTATTTATTTTACTTAAGAGTATGGCCTCATATGCATCCATTTAGCTATAAATGTCTCTAGTTTCTCGTTCTTTATGGCTGAGTAGTACTCCATTATATTAAAAAAACCACATCTTTATCCAGTTTCCAGTTGATGGGCGCTTGGGCTGCTTCCAAGCTTTAGCTATTACAAACTGTGCCACTCTGCCTTGCAAGCACAAGATCCTGAATTCGATCCCCAGTAACTAAACAAAACAAAACTGTGCCACTAGGAACATGGGTGCACATATATCACTGTGGTATGATTCTTTTAATTCTTTGGAGAAGATACCCAGCAGGGGAATAGCTGGGTCAAATGGGACCTCTACTCC